GGGGGGGGGGGGAGTCGGCTCTGTATGATGTTTTCATTTTGGACTTCTAAATTGAATTATTACAGAAGCTGAAGTTGGTTTGACTTTGACAGTTCAAGTTAGCATCTCAAATTCAGTCGACCTAACGGGGGATTTCTTGGCTTTTGCAGTCAGCCTCAAGCGGACACTCGAGGAACTGCCGTGTTTTTTTTTTTTTTAAAGGTTGCTGCTTGCCTCAAACCCTCTCTCTGGTTAGAGTTGCTCTAAGCTCATTTTGTTCAGTCACTTTTTGGAGGACAGTTTTTGCCAATGGTCAGCTGGATTTGGAAAATGGAAGCCCTCTAACTCTCTCTGTCTGTGTCGCTAAAAACATCCAACACATTTCTGATTTTTTTGTGTGCCTTGTAACCATATTTCACTTTCATTTCAACACATGCCGTTGTGCTTCTGGACAGCAGGCAGTACACACACAAACAAAAATAACAACGTCAAAATGTCTTTCTTTAGCAAACTTCCTCTGAAGAGAAAACCAGGAGACTTTAATTAAACAGAAAAACTGTCTCCCCTCCCAGCCGTCTCTAAAGTGACACATGATCTCACACACATTAAATACCCCGTCACCTGTCCTCTTGGACCAATCAGAGAGGAGCTCTGTTATCAGTGCCACATTGACTGCAGGTGTAATTAATCTCACCGTCCTTGAGTGAATCACGCTGCATTCATGTGGTGTCAGAAAAATTGGGAAAAATAGTTACCGAGTTGGAAAACATTAACGCCGGAACAACAACTCTGAAACAACTCTGAAATACTGACAAGAATTAAGTGTCTGACTTGACGACTTGATCAACATGGCGGACAAAATATGTTTTGTTGATGTTAAGATACTTTTTATGAATTCACATATTGCACGTAAACATTTAGCTCAAATATAAAGCATGCGAACACACTGAAGTCGACGACTTATACTCGAGCACTGATTGAGCAAAGGAAGAAATACAAACCAAACTTTCAGTTCTTTCAGCACATTCAGTCTTCTTGAACTTCAAACAGAAAAACAAGTTGAATTCATGAATTAGTTTGAGTCATTTTAAAGTCATATGAACTGAAGATCTTCTTTTTTTTTAAGATTATTTTTTTGGCTTTTATGGAGAGATAGGACAGCTTGAAGGACAACAGGCTCCACACAGGGGGCGCGCACACTAACCGCTGCACCACTGCACCACCAGCGTTCAGTTCATATATTTTTACATAAATACTGATTTATGAGTGAGAGGAAGTTGCAGCATTCATTACAATAATCTACATGTTAGCGGGGGAACAAGGATGCTTCAAAACACATACACACAAAGAAGTCGATAAAAAGACATCAGAGCGACTCTCGTCATGTTCGCGACGGATCCTTTGTGTAGAAAAGTCGATGAATGGTCCGTTAAAAGGCTTCCTGGATGTTGATCAGTGATCACTCATGCAGGTGATGTCGTCCCCGTCTCTCTGCCTCTGTGACATGAACGTTTTTCTCTGGATTAACTTTGACTTTTCATCCAGGCCTGTCGCTGATCGGACTCTGTGCTGTGTAATTAATGAATAACAGATTAGCAGCAGAAGATAAAACACAGGCTACACGGCGCCGTGGCGGAGCTCCTGTTGTGTCCCATTAGCTTGTTTACACTGCACCTTGAATATTGATGGAGTGGAAAAAAAAAAGCCCCCGGAGCAGAAATGTGTTTGTGGCAGCGTGACGCCTCGTCCCCGTGATAATGGACATCGGGAAGGTAGAGGCAGAGCGCACAGCGGGGAGGCGGAACAGCAGCACAAAGAAAAAAAGTAATGATGGCTGTATTCACTGTCCCAATATATAAACACTACACACTCCTTTATCACTACCTCACCTGTTTCCAGTTGAGTGTTGAGTAGCAGAGGAAGGAAGAGTCAGAGAACCGTGAGGGCTCATTAAACCGCCGAGATGGAAGATAATCGATGAATTGAATAACTCCTGGAAATCTAAAATACCACATGAAACAAAAAGAGTAATGTTTTTATTTTATCTGAGTTGGCCAAGGATGTTTTCAGAACATAACTGCGTTCTTACTTTTGAGCCCGTTTGTTAGATCTGTTTCAACATGTCCTTATGGTTCTTAAGCTACGAGCTAACTAAAGAGCGCTAACATTAGCATGCTAACACAACAATGCAGTACACAGGTGATTGCAGCTCGAGCAAATGACAATTTTGTCCCCCGCTTGTGTTTAATGATGCTTGTTAATTTAAGTAATTACAACGCTGCAGTCAACAAACACAATCACTTTTAATTGTTTAAACCAATGCTGAAGTGTAACATCCTGCAGTTCCTGGAGTGTCCACTAGAGGCTGGCTGAAGAAACACAGGAAGTCACATACACACCCATTCTAAAAAGCCTGTTTTTACAGCAGAGATGAACATGTTTACAGCCTGGTTCAAAAAACCAAATAGGTGTGATTAGCTCATGTCTGGATGGACACACACTGTACGGGGGGTGAATGTTTTGATGACTCATCAGTTTTGATTTGATGAAGGATAAGAGTTATTCACAATAAGGCGTGTAGCTGACCTGATTGACAGGTGGGCGCGGTGTAACGGTTTGTCAGGAGGTTTAAAACCCGCCTCAGCTCCAGCTCTCAGCCTGTTGTTAGGTTGACTGAAAGTTAGACTGAGACAGCATTTCCAGCATGGAGACCGCCATCGATGGGACTCCAGCGCCCCCTGCAGGGACAGACGGGGGACGTCACTATGGTAACCACGAGTGTACTCCACGAGTGTACTCTAATAGCTGTCCTCTGGTGTTACACAGAATGACAGTAAACACAAACTGAGCTGTAATGAATTGAATGAAAATGAATGTGCCTCCATGGTGGTAAGGAAATGGCCGTTTCACTTGAATGCAGGGCTAATGTGGTGTCCGCTCTCATTTTGTGCACATTAGCGTCGAGTGAATACGACAGCTTTGCTGGGAGTTTAAATTCCCCCGGCTGTTTGTTCCATGCAAGGTCCTCTACATCTGCTGGCACAGTCGCTCCGTTTGAGTAGGAGACACGTTGAGTCTCGCCTCCCATATCAGGTCGTCGTGCGGCATCATGAGAAGAAGCACAACGAGGTGAAAAGCATGAAGCTGTAAGACTTAAAGACATATATATATATATCAGCAAGAGAAAATGACGACAACTGTTGACATTTTTTAGAATGACTCATGAGAAGGGATGCATCCAGAACTGGTTCTATGAAGGACCTGGTTCTGCTTTTTTTCAAAACCACAAAATCAAAAACTATTGAGCTTATTGATGCCGCTATCGAGTCTTAGTCGCATAACTTTTTTGGTTAAAATTCTGACCAAAGAGCTAAAGTTTTTTTTTTACTTTTCAGTACTTTTTAGAGATGGTGGTACAGTGGTTAGTGCTGTCCCCTCTCTGTGAGGAGGTTCCTGGTTTGAATCCCCGTCCTTCAGGAGTCTCTCTGCGAGGAGGTTCCTGGTTTGAATCCCCGTCCTTCAGGAGTCTCTCTGCGAGGAGGTTCCTGGTTTGAATCCCCGTCCTTCAGGAGTCTCTCTGTGTGTGGAGTCTGCATGTTCTCCTCGTTCATGTGTGGGTTCTCTCCTGGTTCTCCGTCTTCCTCCCACAGTCCAAAGACATGCTCGTTAGGTTAACTGCTGACTCTCTGAATGTGAGTGTGGCTGGTTGTCTGTCTCTACATGTCAGCTCTGTGATTGGCTGGTCGAACAGTCCAGGGTGTTACCCCGCCTCTCAACCAATGACAGCTTGCATCATCTCCAGCCCCCCGCGACCCCAAACGGGAAAAAGCGGTATAGATAATGGATGGACGGATGGATGATAGTTTTCTATAACATCAGTCCTTAAAATAGAAATGATTGTATCAGATGTTAGAAGCTTTCCCCGAGCTGATGTCTCTGAAACGTCGATGAAATAGAAGCAAAGAAGAATGGAGAGCAGCTGCTGCAGACACACACACACACACACACACACACACACACACACACACACTGTCGTTGCTTTCCATAGCGGGTTTGTTTGACTGCATTATGGTATCAGCTAACATAACGACCCTGTTATAGTGCCTTATGCAATCAGACGTGTCGTTTGTGTTAACATTATTTCACTAATTGCATCCTCCCCTGGAGCTAATTACTGCAGCAATGTGCTGTGATCCTATAATATCTTGAGTCATTTCTAAAGCTGAGAGGATTTTATAAATGGCTGCTTTTGCATTTTAATGCTGAGTAGAGAATAATAGCTTATGGTGATGAGGGCGTGCGCGTGCGTGTGCGTGTGCGCGTGCGTGTGCGTGTGCGTGTGCGTGTGCGTGTGTAATGATAGTGACATAAGCATAGTGCAATAAAAAACTGATTTTCTCTTCTCTTTGTGTAAATTCCCAGGTGTCCTGCAGGTTTTGGCTGAAAGCAGGGAGGAAAATCTCTTTTCTCCTCAAGTTTGTCAAAAACAGGAGCTGTATATTTTATCAGAGCACTTCGCTGCAACGATGCATTTAAAATATATACACATTATGTGCACAAGGTCTCTGACTGTTTGATATTTCCAGAAAACTCTTGCAGAAACATGCAGCATGAGCTTCATTATCATAACAAATAAACTGAAGTCAGTCAGTTCCCATCCAACAAAATGTTAATTTCCTCATTTTATTTATTTTCTGCAGCTGATGTGTTTTCATTTAGCGACAGAGGAAGCAGCTAAAGCCTGCCGCTCACTAAAACTCAAAAGATGATTTTAAAAGATGTGAGAGCGCACACACATGACGACGAATCACGACAGATTGAACAGTAAAATAATCTTACATTTGAAAGATTAGCTTTGGAACCATCAGATAATCCGGCCCTTTGCTGACTTTGTTCAGAGGGGGGGGGATCTGTCCTGAAATCGTCCTTGTTATCTTGCACTGTGTACCCTGCTAAAAAAATATACTTGATGTGAGTCTGAGTGATTGTATTTGCTCTTTCTGTGTGTGTTCCTCCTGCAGGGGTTGAACCAGGTGAGGAGAGCGGCTCAGCTGGGTCCGGACGGAGTGCGGCGGACTGACTGGCACGACTACGAGTCGATGAGGAGAGACGCTGCTCGATCAGGTCGGTCTGCTCTCTCTGCTGAGTCGGCAGGTTTTGTTTTGGGGAAAGTTTGCTGAGAACATCTGCTCCTCTTCAGCGCAAGGACACACACACACACACACACACACACACACACACACACACACACACACACACACACACACACACACACACACACACACACACACACACACACACACACACACACACACACACACACACACACACACACACACACACACACACACACACACACACACACACACACACACACAGCAGCGCTCTCTCTCTTTTCTCATCCTAATTACCTCCATGTGCATTCTTCTCTCAGAGGCGGTGTAAATCAATGCTGCGGGTATAAAGTTCTTAGTTCATAATTAAACACGGTTAATCTTCGACAATAAAGTATCGATCGAGCTGCGAGGCCTCGAGCGGAGGAAAATACCTTTGGCTTTTTATTACAAATGTAGGAGATTTAATGGGCTTTTATGTGGTATTAGGCGGTGCTTAAGTGCTAAATGAGCAGGATAAGGGATCATGCTGAAGACTAAGTGGACAAAACAAGAGTTGAGGACGCTTTCTGTGCTCATTAAAGGTGCACAGCGAAGTACAATCAGAATCAGGTTTCATACTGAGTCTGTTTATGCAAACGAGGGGTTTGTCTTGGTGCAAAAATAATGAAGACTATTTTAAAAGTAGGAGAAAGTAAAGAGAAAAAAACATGATGTCAGGGGATTGAAATAAGCAGTGAAAAATAAAACATCCATCCATCCATCCATCCATTATCTTTATTTCACTCTTGCTTTTAACCCCCCTTCCCCCTCCTGAACTGCTAATCTAACAACGATGATTTTAAATGTATTTTAAATATGTAAAATAAATCTTTTTTTAGGTCGGCTGCTAACTGATCTGTGCAGGTGTGTTCTCACATGTTTTAGTGATGCAATGCGTGCGTTAAAGGAGTCTCTCTTTCTGAGTTCATCTTTGTAACGGTGGCTCTCTCCTTGGTGCTGAAATGTTTGAACACTGCTGTCTGAAAATTGTGTTTACGCTACAGAAGTGACAAAACTGCTCCTCGTGAAAAAGCTTAATGTTTGAGTGAGAGGTGAGAGGGCACTGTTTGTTGTCCCACAGCACAATTATCATCAGAAACAGAGACTCAACTCAGAGGCGAGACAAATTCAAATAAATTGGAGGAGCTGGTGAGACGGATGAGGGCAAAAGCGGCTCTAAATACCCGGGAGCCTCAGCCACCTCTGCTATGAAGAATCAGTCTGTGAGAGGTTTTAATTTGAACGGAAACAATGTCGAACATCCGGGAGGAGCAGGGAACAAATCTTTACATCTTTGTTGCTTTATAGAAGAAGAGCTAAAACTCATCTGCAGATCGTGTTGTTTTCACTTTGACAGATTTATTAGATATTCCCCAATATAATAATAACAATAACTTTATTTAAAAACACAGGTTTACAAAGTGCTTTGACGAAAACAAAAACAAGAACAAACTAAACCAAACACAGAAGAACATAAACAACAGCAAGAACATAACAAATGTAAAATACTAAAAAATAATTAAATACAACTCAATAGAAAAGTGTTACAGTTCTGTGAGTAAAACACCGGAGGTGGACCCAAGTGCAGAACCAAAAGAAAGGATTTATTTTAAATAAAGATCATACGAGCCACGAGGAAGCACAAGAAACACTAGCAAACTGACGACTGACTGACTGACTGACTGACTGACTGACTGACTGACTGACTGACTGACTGACTGACTGACTGACATACCACAAACCACATACACCTACAACATCCAATGAACTGACACATGCAGCAAGAAACACAGAGACTAAATAGAGACAGGGGTAATCAAACACAGGTGAGACTAACAAGACACAGGTGAGGACAATCAGGGCAATCACACTGGGAAACACATAGACAGGAATACAAGAAACACTGAGGACAACTACAAACTAAATCATGAAACACTAAAAACACACAGAACTCAAGAATGATCAAAACACACTAAAACAACAAGAAACACTAAACACTGAAAAACCAAACTAGAAAAAGACCAAACCATAACAGAAAAGAAACCATAGTGCACGATACCCAACAGACATATATAACCCGACCATCACAAGAACCATCATAAGAACCATCTTAAGAACCATCACAAGAACCATCACAAGAACCATCAAAAGAACCATCACAAGAACCATCACAAGAACCATCACAAGAACCATCACAAGAACCATCATAAGAACCATCAAAAGAACCATCATAAGAACCATCAAAAGAACCATCATAAGAACCATCACAAGAACCATCATAAGAACCATCAAAAGAACCCAACAACACGAGCTGAGACCAAGAGGACCAAAGATTTAAAAAGATGTAAGAAACTAAAAGAGCTAAAAGCAAATAAAAAGATAACAGCAATAAGAAGGTAAGAGCAGGAAGAGAAATAGAAACAAGTGAATCAATTATCAAAAAAAACAATAAAAGTGAAAAAATGAAAGTACCAGTTGCCGACCCTGCAGAGAAAAAGCGGTAAAGATAATGGATGAATGGAATTTTTTTGTAAAATTGTACAATTGGAATCTGCGCAGTTTTGCCCATGTAGCATGCATTTACACTTTTTATGTTGTCTTCACTTAAATACTAAGTATTTGTGACTCTTCCTGTAACCAAATTCACCATGAATATACTGTCCTTACAATGAGTTGCATATCTTCAGAGCTAGGCAGTTAGCTAACAAGTGTAAGTCCTCCAAAAAAATTACAAGGCGTAACTTTTCTCGTTATTTATTGAAGAATTCACAGTATTTCCATTCTTATTTACTTTCTTTCTTTCTTGTAAAACTGTAATAAATCACAAATTGCAAAAAGTACATTAGAGCCTAACAAACAGAAAATAGGACACAAGAAACAATTAGCTAACCTAACATGCTGAGTCATGCTGCTAGCTTACTGCTCTGCTAACTATCAATTTATTAAAATCCAATCGTCTAAAGAAACAACTTAAAAACTTACATTCTGCCTCTGCACACCAAAGAACACAAAATAATAAATACTTATGGACAATTATTGTCCAAGGCAACAAAGTGGAAGATCATTCTGCAGGAGGTGAAGAACCTGCTGTCTGCACTCTGCACAGCACTTAAAGGTCTCACATGCTCATACTACTCAGTTCACTTAAACAACCAGGAGGGGGCAGTGTAAAAACAAAACTTAACTCAGACAATATTAAATGTCCTTCACAAAGGGCACAACAATAGAGGTAAACATCAAAGTCACCTGAAGCCGAACAGCCGTCTGTGATTTCAGTGCAAATAATCATCAAGCTCTTCTCCTCTTAAGGGTTAAAACAACGTCATTTAAAATGATCAACGCACTGAGTTTATCAAGCGAGAAACTCCAAGCATTATTAAGAAGCAGAGTTTATCTCTGAAATGAACCATTAAAAGTGAGGGGCTTATTTTCCACAGTTATTACCTCCAGGAGTATAAACTGATCATTTCTGCCTAATGGAACAAGGCAGCCCGCCTTTAATTTGGGCGCTCTCGCTCTGACTGTAGATCAGCCTCCACCTCGTGCACCGCTGTGTGTTTGTGTGCGGCGCGTCAACGACAGGCTAATGAAACATGCAGCACTGGTGTAATTTGATGCACTCCTGAAATGAGCTCACATTTCACCATGTTTGTGTGGCAAAGGGGATGTCGGCGAGTAATTAGCTTCACGCTTGTGTGTACGTGTCGTTTATCTCGGCTCAGTGTAATAATGTACCGTTCGTCCAATATCTGCAGCGATGTATTGATCGTCTCTCTCTCTCTCTCTCTCTCAGTTCATCAATTACTCACCTCGGTGAAATGTAATCTTTTATATCTGATTTAAGATATTATGTATGAAGGATCCAGATTCACATGTTTGTTTTTAAATCAAGTCAACCAAATTCAAAACTCTCACCCAGGAGATCAACGTTAGAGTCACCTTTGAAAACAACAGTCGTCTTCAGAGACGCTGACAAACATTCATGAGTAAGGACAGATTTTAAACCCAAACCATAATATTTTTCCTAAACCTTATCGAGTCATTGAAGCGCCTAGATATAACCAATCAGAAACCTTCAGCGTTGGAAAATGAAGAGAATGTGCAAAGAAAAAAAGAAACTGCAGTTCCTTGGGTGTCCACTAAGGGGTCATCTCTAAAAAGTCCCTTACACACACATAAATGAAAACATCTGTTCATGACAGCAGAAATTAAAATGTTTTCAGCCGGGTTTTAAAATAGATTTTGGTTTGATTGCTCATTTCTTTACCGTCACACACAAGCAGGCGAGCTGCAGCTGTTTTTTTTAAGGAATTGTTTGGGGCCATATTTGTCTTTATTGGAGACGACAGCTGAAGAGGATGGGGAAATTTTGGGAGGAGAGAGAGTGGGGGGCTGAGGTCGCATTCAAACCCATTGCTGCTGCAGCGAGGACTACAGCTTCTGTACATGGGGCACGCATCATAACCGCTAGTCCATCCAGCGCGCTGTGCTGTAGCTGTTTGTCAGCTCTACCTCTTTGCCTGTAGTGTTTCCAATATGGCAACGATCACCATCAATAGGTTCCAAAAGCCCATGGATGGATTGAATTATAACCCACAGTAGCTGCCACAAGCTCTGCACATGGGGCGAGCAACATAACCACTAGGCTACCGGCGCCAATCACATTCTGATTCTTGAGGTTTACTTGATCACTTTACTTTTAGGCTCGCTATATTTACAAATGAACGCCAGCATAAGTAACACTTCTACCTGCATGTGCTCACTGACAGTGAAGGACTACACAACCACAGATCCTCAAACAGGATGGGTTTCCCTTTTTTGTGTTTGTCACTGACCTGTGTGTTTGGTGCAGGTAACGGTGAGCAGGGGAAGCCGTTCCCTCTGACAGAAACAGACCGGGTGGACCAGGCTTACAGGGAGAACGGCTTCAACATTTACATCAGCGACCGGATCTCCCTCAACCGCTCCCTCCCTGACATCCGCCATGCGAAGTAAGTCTTACATAAGAAAGTTTGTGTTTGTAGTTTCAATTTCTTTTCATTTCATTTAAAATGTTCTCTCTTCTCAGTCATATAAACGTGCGATCTTGTTTTTGGTCTTCTGTCACACAACCTTGTATCTGGTTTGCCTTATGAAGCTAGTGAAACTGCAAAGTCATCGGGCCTCATTGAGAAATCGAGAGACGCTATTGTTAGTTTTGAGTTCATGTGTAGTGCTTGTTAAGGATGCTTATAATTGTTTAATGGATTTTTAAAGGACACATGTGATGACAAATCCTCTTCTCCATGTTCCTCTAACTCTAACATGTGTCTCTAGTCCGTCTACAAACCCCCCAATGATGAGAAAAGTCCATCCTCTCCGTCTTCTGCCTGCTCCACTTTTCAGGAAATGTGGGCTCTAACAGGCCGTTTGGAGATTTTCCCTTCATGACATCACAAAGGGCAGTAGCCCCTCCCCCAGGTGGGTGACACTCCCACAGTTAGGTGTTTGTTCTGCCCTCTGAGTCTGCCTTCTCACCGTAAACATTAGGACATGGAGCGAGAAAGCACCGAGTACACCCAAGCCCTTCCAGAGAGGGGGCGTGGTCAGGCACAAGCTCATATACATATTTAAAGGTACAGACACAGAAACAGCCTGTTCTGAGCAGGGCTGAAATAGAGGGGTTTATAGACATGATCAAATACAGGATCAGAGTTGATTTAGAACAAGAAACTTGACATGTTTTGAGGAGCCCTGAGACTTATTTAAACTGAAGAGGAGGAGGATATGTCAACTTTAAGATCAAGTTTCTTCTTGTGAAGTTGGTGAATAACGCCCCATGTGAGGAAACATTTGGAAAATATAAGTGGTTGAACCTTCCTCTGACTTTCTTGAATCTTTTGAATCCCTTTGAAACCAGTCAACGGCCATGCTAATAGTCGCTTTGGACTGAAGAGGTCTTTATGCTGCAGTATGTTGAAATCTATAAAGTACTCATGGCGTGGGAATAACGGGTCAGGGAGAGAATGTTTGATGTCGTATTTGTCAACCGACGCAGAAGGCAGAAAAAAGTTTTTCAACTCAACTCAGACGACCTATGAACACCCTTTCAATCCTCGACTGGCGCTGTGAAAGGCCTTTAATCACCACGTTTCTTCTGCCTGACGAGACCTTTCCCTCCGACACTTGACCTTCCCTTCTCTTTCATGCGGAAAGCAGCTTTGAGTACTTCCTTCTTGCCGGCATTTTCAGCGTGACATATTCTTTTATCAAAGTTTATAAAAGTCAGCCTTTTTTTTGACCTTACACGTTTTCTTTTGCCGTGACAGGTACTCTGGAATAAATGCAAACATCTTCAAGATCGAAGGCTGACTAATGTTTATTCACACATTAATTAGAATCCTGCTTTTGTGAATTTCTGCCTCTTAGCCTCAAGTCACAGAGAAATCATTATGTGCAAATTGTATATAAGTCTTTGAATGATGAGGACACACGCTCATTTAATTATTCATCAAATATTTCCTGTTCCAGGCTGTTATTTGTGTTAGCACAAAAGAGAATATGAATGTTTCAGAACAAGCTCTGATCTGAAAACTAGGATGGTCTTGTCAGCTAGGTGAGTAAATCAAAACTTGCTTTGAGTAGATGTTGATAGTGGGTTGTTGTCAGGCTTTGTTTGGATTGAGCACTTAAGGTTCATTCTCTGAGCATCAACAAAACAGCGACAAAAACGTCTCCTCCTTACTTTAACTCTCTGATCCAGGTCTACACTCCCCTCCCCCCCCCACTACGCTCTGCCAATGAAAGGCGTCTGATCCAACCTTCACAACAGGGTCCTAAGTCTCTGACTAGACTCTTCTCCTCTGTCGCCCCCCGGTGGTGGAATGAACTTCCAAACTCCATGTGATCTGCAGAGTCCCTCTGCACCTTTAAGAAAAAGCTAAAGACCCAGCTCTTTCATGAATACCTACTAACTTAATGATGATGGTCTCCATATTATTGATGATGATGATGGTAATGACGATGGTTTTTGTTTGATAACGACGACTTATAAGATGGTTTCTATACTGATTAGAGCTCTCAAGAACTGCCCTCAATGTTGTGCTTTGCCTCTGGTCACTTCCTGTCAGCACCTGTGTGTCCAATCAGACTTAAAGCTGATCGTTTGCTCTTACTCACATTGTTCCCTTTTTTCTAGATCCTTGCTTGTGTTGTTCTTACTCTCTGATGTACGTCGCTTTGGATAAAAGAGTCTGCTGAGTGATTTGTAGAATTTGTAAGTTGGATGTTTGAGTCTCATTTTCTAAAGTTTGGTAGATATTCAAGGTGTGCATGGTTAAAGGATTTCAGAAGGCCGAGACATACTGTAGCTGCTGTCATATCTCAGGGTGGGAGGTATTCATTGTTTCTACACTGAAATACCTTACTGGGCTTTTACTTTGAAAATCACAAAGTTTTTTTTTCATCCCTCAGTTCCTTTTCATGAGGGTTCATGTAATTGAACCATCAGCAGTTAAATGTGTTAAATAAACGAGTGGTATTGAGGGTACATTTAGCCCCTGTGGCTGCTGGACTCTTGTCATTCTCCTGTGACCAATCAGACGGACACACCTGCTCTCCTCGTGGAGCTAGCCGCCGCCGCTCCATCAGCAGGCCTAACTTCACCCAAGTGCCCTGCAGGCAGCATCTGGTGATTGGCATGTCGTCTGGGCTGCAGAAGCAGCCAATCCCAGACCCGTGACAGACACATCCGATTTCTGCACGCTGACTAGATTTAATTGAAGCGCACACACACACACACACACACACACACACACACACACACACACACACACACACACACACACACACACACACACACACACACACACACACACACCTGGATTCCCTGTTGAATTGGTCAGGGTTTGTTAGAGTAAACCAGCCGGCTGCCTGTCCATCTCTCCGCCTGCCTGTCGCCAAACGTTCATATTTGATTGTGTGACACGCAGGCTGATGTTTTGCTCAGACATTGATCGACTGCTGACACAGCTCACTGCACACTTCCTCCCTCTCCCCCCCTCCCCCTGTCGGCAAGGTAACATAACTCTCTTCCCCTGATTAGCTCCTCTGTAAGCGTCCTGCTGCTGGCTCTGATGATCATGTACAAGGTGATGGCTGTAACCCATCATTAGAGCGCATTAGCCCCCTGATCACAGCTGTGTGTGCTGCTAATAATAAAATGACTGCTGTTCAGGATTCAACAGGAACATGTCAACGGCCTCAGTGTGGAGCCTGATGCACCGACGCAGGATAAATTATTAACAGTTGTTTCGTCATCCTGTCCAAATATGTTGAACTATTGTCATGGTGGAAAACTGTCCTCCCAAGAGACTTGACAGCATCAGCCTCTAAACTGACTGAAATCCCTCGGAGCCATATTACAGTGTGTCTACAGAAAAATGTTGACCATTCTGTTTTTTTTACACTGAGGAAGCATCGCCTCGTGCAGGCTTTGCAAACCTTGGGGTCCTGACCCCACATGGGGTTGCATAGAATTCAAAAGGGTCGGTCGCCTTAAATTAGCTTTTATTGATCGACAAAAAAATTGTTGTTTATTTAAATGTATAGAAAACAGGCGACTGTGGGGTCACAGCTAATGCCAAAAGGAGAAACTTTTAGAGTCTCTGTCTGTCTGTCTGTCGTCCATTGTGCAGAAGCGTCCTCCAAGCCTTTCTTCCTCTTTCCTCAGTATTAAACACCAAAAACACTAAATGTGGTCTAAGATGAGTGTTTTACTTGCATCACAGAAGAAAAATTTTCACAAATTGGAAACAAATTAATTTTAGCATAAAGCTGTATGTGTTTTGGATGACTGGGGTCAACATGATTTAGTGAAGTCAAAGTGAGGTCATGAGCCAAAAAAAATTGGGAACCACTAATCTAGTAGCTGTAGTAATTATAAGGGACTCAAGGCACGAGAGGAAGTGAGGTGATAGAGTGATGGAGCAGAAGGTTTAAACATGGCCGAAGTGCTGTTGCTTCGCAGCGAGGAGGTTCCTGGTTTGAATCCCCGTCCTTCAGGAGTCTCTCTGTGAGGAGGTTCCTGGTTTGAATCCCCGTCCTTCAGGAGTCTCTCTGCGAGGAGGTTCCTGGTTTGAATCCCCGTCCTTCAGGAGTCTCTCTGCGAGGAGGTTCCTGGTTTGAATCCCCGTCCTTCAGGAGTCTCTCTGAGATGAGGTTCCTGGTTTGAATCCCCGTCCTTCAGGAGTCTCTCTGCGAGGAGGTTCCTGGTTTGAATCCCCGTCCTTCAGGAGTCTCTCTGTGTGTGGAGTCTGCATGTTCTCCTCGTTCATGTGTGGGTTCTCTCCTGGTTCTCCGTCTTCCTCCCACAGTCCAAAGACATGCTCGTTAGGTTAACTGCTGACTCTCTGAATGTGAGTGTGGCTGGTTGTCTGTCTCTATATGTGTGATTAACTGGCGTTCACTCCAGGGTCTACCCGCCCTGAATGAGATCCTTCTTGTGGATTGAGAAAAACAAATGAGAGAGTTATAAAACGTTTCCTCTACGATTTGATTTCAGTGTTCTCTCTTTTTCTCCTCGTAGCTGCAAACAGAAGCTGTACGGCGAGAAGCTGCCCAACACCAGCGTCATCATCCCGTTCCACAACGAGGGCTGGTCGTCGCTGCTGAGGACGGTCCACAGCGTGCTCAACCGCTCGCCGCCACAGCTCATCGCAGAGATCATCCTGGTGGACGACTTCAGCGACAAAGGTACAGAGGATACACACACACACACACACACACACACACACACACACACACACACACACACACACACACACACACACACTCATCTCTCTGATTTGACAACACACCTGCAGCTGAACACACATCTTCAGACTATGAGTTTGATTCACAGGACTTTGTTTAGGTCTAACTCGTGTAAGTGTGTGACGAGTTAACGAAGAGTGCAGCTTTATTACCCAGAAGCCACTTTGCTTGGCCAAAGGCGGCAGGGACGTATTTGTTTTCAAGTGTCTTTGTCCTGCATGCTGGAAGGTTGAATCTGCAGCCAGACGGAAGCATCATAATGAAAGTTGACTGTGATCAGTGCAGGATTGGCTGTGCTCTCTCAGAACGCTCCGTTTTGGTGTGTGTGTCTCTTTAAATGCAATGTTTTGTAAGACTTATGCAGACCACAAACAAAGGACTGGATGGTTTATTTCACATGTTGTGGGTCAGTAGACTCTCAGGTTACACACATATATCTTCAGAAACATGGTAAGAGTGGATTTTTCAGAATATGTCCGCTTTAAGAACTGTCATTTCTCGACTTATCCAGGTAAACTCCCACCTTTTTAAAATGTGTTTTTACAGATATTCAAACATTAACGTCTGTCGCAAAAGAGCACAGTAGCAGATCGTTTCATGTGAACTATCCATTGAGTGCTAACGGTGTAATAATGAGAGAATGTTGTTTTTTTTTGCAGTGCGTACAGCTTTTTGCAGTAAATAAATACTTCATTGTTGAACAGCTTTGTGTGTGTGTGTGTGTGTGTGTGTGTGTGTGTGTGTGTGTGCGTGCGTGTGTGTGTGTGTGTGTGTGTGTGTGTACCTGTCCTCATGTAATTTCCTCCTTTACTCTCCCTTCACCGGCCCCTCTTAAGAAAGTGTTTAATTCCTTGTTAATTAGCGCTCTCTGTCACGGTCCCTCGTTGAAGGATGTGTTTACTTCTCGTCTCGGCGGTAATGAGATGTTCCGCCGCCTCTGACTCATTTAGAGGTGAACACCCATCAGAGCTCGGAGATTGAACCCTCCCGTCGCTGCTGCTGAGCAGAGCGGGGGGGAGGGGTGGAAGAGAGATTGTAAATCGATAATCGTCTACATTTTAAAACTAAAGAAGCGGTAATTAGAAATCTTGTTATCTTTAAATATCAGCACTGTAAGAAAAGAAACATGGTTTGTATTCAGTACATAAAATAAAAACAGACTGCAGCTGAACTTCCTGTTTTGTTCAGAGAGATTTAAGCATGTGTTTACCATTTTCTCAGGAAACAGTTGATGCTCAGTAATTAGCTGGCTAACACAATGGAAGGCTGAGGACGTATCAGCTCTATAGTTCCTCAGATATTTAAATATCTCCTGGTTCTGCTGGGCTGTTAATTTCTTCCCATTTACTTGTTATTTTTTTGCATTTTTAGGAGCTGATCCTTTATATAAACATATCTTTGCAGAGCGGGACTCGAGCTTCTCATTCGTTGAAGACAGTCATGACTCAAAGAGACATTTACATTTTTATTTTCCATGGTTAAATTTATTTAATTTAATATATACTTAATATGTGATATTTCACACTTAAATGTAGAAATCAAGTATCTCCTCTGAAAATAACTCTGTGAGTCATGACTGTCTACAATGGGTGTAACACCCGAGTCCCACTGTCTGTGATGTTTTCAGAGTTTTCAGAGTCCTATCTTCAGTTTGTTTACATCGCCCGGACGACCGGCTGACTCCTCCCCTCGTGTATAAAAGTTGTTTAATTGAGGGACTAGAGAAAAGAAGAATAACATACTGTACTCACTGCTTAACTGTGTTTCTAGATCACGCTCATTTCAGGTAAATTTACATGCAGTGTGAAGATACCAGCAGAATAAAGATCGCTAGCATTAGCATGCTAACACAACAATGCAGCGCGAGTTGTTTTGGTTTCATGCTGATGCTCAAGGGCGACATCTGCTGGATCAAAAAATCACATATAAAGCCTTTAAAATATGAGTAAATGTTCATCCTGCAAAGTAGCTGCTCTGTGGTAACCATGGACATGCTTTCCCTTTCTGAGCCTTTCTAATAAAAACATGAATGTTGATATCAATGATGGAAAACAGGATCTCTTAAATTCTACTGTTTATCAGAAATCAGGCCGACGATGATGTCATCCAAAGTTCTGCTGCCTTCTGTTTCTCAGCGAGCTGCAAACGACAAACACTATGAGCCAGGTGGCAGTGATATTGGAGGGGTATCATAGCAACAAGAGCCCTGAAGGTATGATGGGAAAACTGGCTGTGAGAGTGTAACCTCTCGTCCTTTCATTCATCCGATGTATTCACACCTGTGGCAGCTTTTCACAGCTGGAGTTCTCTTCTCTTGTGTTTTTATAGAAGGTGTGTCGGGTTTCAGAGAGCAGCAAACAGTCGACCTGCGCTGCCTCAGTGTGAGAGTGTGTTTCCCTCTCTGCCAAAGCTCTGCACAGAGAGATAAATGTGTTTACCTCCGTGACATGTTGGAGGAGCTGGTCTCACAGCGCACTGAGAGTCTGGAGCCTGCAGCTCTTTTCAGCTCTCTCTGGTTTCTGTTGTACTGTAACTCCCTGCGATGTTTCAAACCTGTCCACTCACCCAGACATACCGGTCCAGTTTTTAAGGAGTAATAGAAATGCTAATCCTGCTCATGCTTTCACCATGGTTTCCGTTATGTTTGGTCTGTATACATAAGATTCCAGAAAATGTACAGAAGTGCAGAAACCCACTCGTCAACACATCTTGTATTCTTCTATCAACACCACCACCACCACCAGGGTCTAGACTCCATTGGAGGGGCGGGTATCCCCTACTGGGGGGGTATCCTCTAAACTGTTAAATAAATCATTGTTCACTCTCAGTTAAGTCTCTCCTGATTGAAAGGATTTATGGATCTTTTAAAGAGGACATATCACCCCTCCTCCACCTTTTCAAACAGTCCTCCTCCTCCACCTTTTCAAACAGTCCCCTCCTCCACCTTTTCAAACAGTCCTCCTCCACCTTTTCAAACAGTCCCTCCTCCATCTTTTCAAACAGTCCTCCTCCTCCACCTTTTTAAACAGTCCTCCTCCTCCACCTTTTCAAACAGTCCTCCTCCTCCACCTTTTCAAACAGTCCTCCTCCATCTTTTCAAACAGTCCTCCTCCATCTTTTCAAACAGTCCTCCTCCATCTTTTCAAACAGTCCTCCTCCATCTTTTCAAACAGTCCTCCTCCACCTTTTCAAACAGTCCTCCTCCACCTTTTTAAACAGTCCTCCTCCATCTTTTCAAACAGTCCCCTCCTCCATCTTTTCAAACAGTCCCCTCCTCCACCTTTTCAAACAGTCCCCTCCTCCACCTTTTCAAACAGTCCCCCTGTGGTCTAAATGAAACAGCACCAGAGGAGGTTTGTGACCCTGTATAAACCAGCTCTCTCAGAACGCTCCGTTTTGGTGTGTGTGTCTCTTTAAATACAATGAGCCCCCCCATCACTCCTCTGTAGTGAGAATAAAAATGGCTGACCTGCGCAAAAAGTGGATTGTTTTTTTTTTACCAGAATCCCACTGTGACATCACAAGGAGAGCACATTAGAAACAGAGCATTTTTCTCTGTGTTATAAGACTTATGCAGACCACAAACAAAGGACTGGATGGTTTATTTCACATGTTGTGGGTCAGTAGACTCTCAGGTTACCAACATATATGTTCAGAAACACTGAAGAAGAGGATTTTTCATAATATGTCCCCTTTAATGTAAAGTTCAGATCATGTAAACGTTACAGTTGGTCTAAATCCTAATTGTTTGTTTATACATTTCGTTCCATATTTATTATCTTTTGTTGTCTTTTGTCTTTCTTTCTGATGCTGTCTCCTTTCAGTAGCTGTGATCAGACTCTTTAAACTCTTTTCTCTTTAGAGACATGAGATCCTGAGATTGTCTCATTTTGCTCATTTGGTGTAACCAGATTTGGGACGCTGATTTTCTCGCCTTTTCTTTAACTGTTTTCACTAAAAAGAGGGATTTCACCAGATTACCCCCTGCTGTCACATAGCAGCGGGGGAATCAGGCGGCGGCAGCGTCTTCATTTTCTTTGCATTCTGTTAATTTCCACCCAGTGGCAGATTGTTGCTTTCTGTCACAGAGGGCGTCTGTCCTCTCGTTCTCCTCCAGCTCTTCACACTTCTCCTCTTTAATTACACGTTTCAGCTAAGGTCATTTCTCCATTTTCTCTCACTTTCACCTCGTCCAGAGAGAGAGAGTGACCTCCAAAGTTCAGCCGGTTTCTCCCTCGCTCTGACCGGCTCTGATTTACAGCCGGCAGCATCAAAGCATGACACTGAGCTACAGACACTGAGCGAGTGTCGCTATCACCGATGACAACGCCTCGTTTATATCTTCACACTTTCTCTCCTTCTTTCTCTCCGAGCCTGTACACTGAAACATCTTAATCTAAACCCCGAAGTCTCCCTGAACATACCGCTCTGAGACATCGCTCTGACACCACGTGAAGATGAAAGTGGAAGAATGAGATCACTGATATTTGTTTATTTCAAAGTCAGTTTTGCAGCAAGGTCACAGACATTTGCATGGATTCACACTGCATGCCTCTAATTCTGCCTTTTCTCTTTTTCTTGTTCTTCGTTTCACCACACAGCCTACACATGGTGTACGACGTATTTACCTGATGCATGACTTTTAGAATAACCTATAATGATGAGAATAACTTTATTTATGCAGCATCTTTTTTATATATATTTATTGTAGAGATAGGACAGTGGACAGAGATGGAAATCAGGGAGAGAGAGAGGGAAATGACATGCGGGAAAGGAGCTACAGGCTGGATTTGAACCTGGGCCGCCCGCTTGAAGGACTGTAGCCTCCGTACATGGGGCACGCGCACTAACCACTGCACCTATGCAGCACCTTTTTAAGCACAAGAAACACGTTGTTGGTGTAATCCCCGGTCGTGGTTTCCTGCTCTTCTGACCGAGAT